CACCTCCTCGGGGGCAAAGGGCGGCCCCGCCCATCACTCCATCCCTTAGATGCCCTCATTAAGGAATGTGTACACGCACTGTAAGACGAGTATTGTTTTGGAGATAATAGCACTGTAATCGAAGAACAAAAAAGGTTGAGGTTAAGGATTTAGGACCCGAAAATTACCGCAGCTGAATTTCCAGCACTTCGAGTTACATTTTACTCACGTTTTTGGATAAAATGACGCTTCCTTAAAATTTTGTAAGTGCTCTCGCTTGAAAGGTTTGTAAAGCATATCGTATTAGAAATTAAGCAGAAGTCATGAGTTTTCGATCACAGTATGTAACAGAGAAGTCAGTCAATTACACGCAAGCTCTAAAGTTTATCTAGAAACTACAGCAAACTAAAATAACTTAAAAATTTAGTGTCGTATTTGGAAATCTTAGCCAACTCTTCAATCACACATACGACCGGAAGTTCGGTATTCTAGTACATCGATTGTAGAAAATACTACCACTTAAAAATTGGTTTTTGATAATTAAGATATTGATCATTAAAGTACTTGGAATGAAAAAACTCATTGAAATACATATATGATGCGAAAGTATGAAAGTATATATGTTCAAATATCCTAATTACCGGAGAAAGCGTTGCGTTGGTTATTCAGCTTTGATATATCCTTTCAAAATAGATAATTTTGATGTTGTGAAGATAATAAGGTTCTACATCACTTGTGGTCACTCAGTGATTCAATTCCTATTGCTTACTTACTTCAACCAGATGACCAGGAATTTACAACTGATCAACTAGAATCGCTGTGATTCGAATGACCCAGTTTTCTATACAAAAATCTGTGCTTTTATCTCTTCTGAGAATAACGTTCAAGTGCTCACTTTTGAAAGGATGGCGTAGCAGAAGTTTCCAGGCCTCCAAAATTGAGAAATGGTAACTACGTTTTTCGTTTCTTCTCAATTTTTCTCTCTTATTACCTTAACACTGAGTCTATGCTCGCTACTTTCGCACCTCACAATGAGACAGAAATAAGTGGAGCAATGGGCGTGGTCTGACCTCTGAAGAGCGGAGGTGCTAGAACCCTCCTGGGTGCGAATGCTGGTGCGAACTTGGAGTGAGGAAAGGTGCTAGGAACTGCTGCACGCCCTCCGTTGCAGCAGGTAGTCCGCGGAGGCGGCCCAGACTGGCGGAGTTCGTTTCCCCACCGCTCATAAACGGATGTATTTTTCTGGATCGGCATGTCAAACCTTAATGGAGCTTGATTCTAATATTCTAAGGTCGAAAAATTCCGCTTGATTCACTCCATCAAAGTGACTAGTTCCGTTGATTTTGCTAGAAATTAAGCTTCTTTTTGCTCAAATAGCACTCTGAAGTACGTTGATTACATGTCTGGAAAAAACTTTATTATAGAACTATTGGTGTTTGGTACAACTCAGATCTCGAAAGTAAGAAACTTGCTGGAGCATGCTTATCTTTCCTTGAGCTATCGTCATATCATTGCATCTTAGAGGTGAAGAGCAGGAAGTAGAAGACGGTCAACCAGGTCAAGAGGGGTCCTTTTCGAAGATCTTGTGCCTGACCCCACGCTTGACCCTGGCTACTAGTTAGGACTGAATTAGTACGCTGTTCACGGCACTCATTCCTTCAGTTCAAATGGAGTTGTGATATTCAACAGTCTAAAAGCTCTTCCATGACGAAGGCGGTCGGTTTAGTATACGGGCTGCGACCGGCGTGTTTGAGCATTTTTCATCATTGATGCTCGTATGCCCACGCACGCCTCGCGCACATGGGCGACTGCCTTCGCCTGTTATTAGCTTATAGCGCTTTCCTTCTTCGCCTTACTCTATCGTTATTTTCTCAATTCGTCTTATAGTCGTCCTCACCCCACTAGTCGGTCGGTCGAATTTAAATTCGAACTGGAGCAGGCCGGAAGCGGCAGAGCGCGGCAGGCCGCCCCTCAGCCAACCGCTTGCACATGAGCTTTTCGCTTATTTTCTTCGTGTTTCTTTGCTACCTCTCGTATAACGGCAATGTTCTTAATCAGATTTCTAAATTTGGTACCGCTTACTATTGTTTTGTGCTCGTTTGTTTTACATTTTCTCCAGGTAACCCTGGAAGAAGGATGCGACTGGAGATTTTTGGGTGAGAAATCTCTTTCCCGGTAAGTAACATATACACAAATGTGATTTGATGAACTGTATCACGGTGTTTGTTTCAAAGAGTTATCGGTATGAAATCTGCAAATCTGATTAGAAACATTGCCGCAATATGAAGGATACCAAAGAAACACGAAGAAAATAAGAAAAAAGCTCGTGCAAGCCGTTGGCTGAGGGCGGTCTGCCGCGCTCTGCCGCTGCCGGCCTGCTCCAGTTCGAATTCAAATTCGACCACCGACCGACTAGCGGGGTGAGGACGACTATACCCCCAACACGATCCTTACGTATGATACGAGCACGCCTGACCCGCGCTCATCTCTGCTCAGGTAATCGCCGGGGCAGGCGGCCATGCGATTTATGGACGGGCAGGCACCGGAAAAATAGTTCGCTGATTTCTTGCGGTCCGCTTGCAGATATTTGAAAGAATTTCAGCGAATTTTCAAACGAATGCTTGAAGAACAATCGCGATTTCCTAATAGACGCCCAATTTGGCATATCCTTATAGATGCCCAATTTGGCATATCCTCGTGGACTTTTTGCGAGAATATGCCAAATTTTCGAGGACCGCGCAGCCCCCATGTCTTTCCGCCGAGAGAAAGTACCTCAAACTTGAAATCAAACCATCGATGGCACCTCTGCCATGTAGTCTCCTTTGCTCGACGTACGCCCGAAATTGCTCAAAAACCGTCCGAGCGCCAGACGAAAATCTGACCAGCGCTTGCTGAAAGAGCTTTGACGAGCGCCTGCAGAAAATTTTGTGTTGCTGCCCTCTGGCAGAACATTAGAAAGTAAAGGAAGTACCGCTCGCTGAAGGTTTGTCCACGCCCCAAAATTCTGCTGACCGCTTGCAGAAAAGCGCGAGTTTGCGGACCGCCTGCCTCCGGCGATTATCTGAGTGGTCATCGGTGCACGCTTCGATTGTGCTTGCCATGTCAAAATGCGTCAGAAAGCAATCTCTGGAGCAGAGACTGATAAAAGGCGTTGGCCCCTGATAGCATTTCCGTGAACGGCAGGACCATTATTGCTACCAGGATAAGTAAGGGGACCAGATCATAGCAGATGCTTCACTTTTAAAGCCTGCTTTCAATCTACATAAATAATCGGGGGAGCAGATAGTGCCTAAATGTGCTTTCATAGCTGAGACTCAAATACCGTTCTATAACACTAGCTTTTTACGCAAGCTATTAGGTTGTAAAGAAAACTCTGGGGTAGTTTCGAAAACTTCATTTTCAAACTCATTTTTTTCGTACTGTCGGATTTTGACATGCGTTATTGCACTTTTTGTAGCACAAAGCTTGAGCTTTCTAATGATTCTAATTTCTAGCGCATCGTATGATCTATATTCAAAAAAGGAAATCTTTTTACAGGAAGAAATGTCAAAATTTTTCTTCCTGTCGCCAATTTTTCGCGCTAAACAAGCGTCGAACAAAATCGCCTTGATCTTGGATGATCTAAAAGGGAGTCTGTCGACTGCAGATTCGCGGCTGTGCTTAAAATTTACTGCAGGCGCAAAATCACAAGCTGTCAAACTTGTCTCTGACGGCGGCGTTTTGCAGCTGGCGTCCATTCTGTGTAGACTCTGCGACCTTCTTGATGGGCCCAAAACATGCGCAAGACATACCCACATAGATTTGCAGAACCAAAGATTTGGCTCATTTCTTGCAAAAAGGGAAACATTTAGTCAAAACTTATTTAGGGCCGCATGCACTAATCTCCCCGCTGGGGAGGGGATCGCAGCACAAAAGAAAGCTTTATATCTCGAAACTCCAGATACCTGGATACACGTTGTGTGCCTATCCGTAGGTATTCCTACTACCCTTCACTATGAACATGTTGAAGAGGAGCGAGAAGCTATACAAACCGCATTTTCCAGCTTTTGTATGATCCCTGATGATCCCCGGCGCTTTTCTTTAGAGTCATTTTTCTTTCTCCGAAGTCAATGAAAACTTTCCAAAGCTGTACTGAACATCTAACACAACAGTGCTAAGCATGTTGCTGATAAGAACAAATGAGTTTTTGAAAAGTCGAATTTTTCGGTAAACCTCAAATTTCGACCTGTGGATTTCAAAATTTCACGACTTCAAAACATCATTTGTTCTTATCAGCAACATGCTTATGGTTAGCACGTTCGGGTTAGATAATTTGCACAACTTTGAAGGTTATTCGTTAATTTCGGAGAAAGAAAAATGACTTTAAAGAAAAGCGCCGGGGATCATCAGGGATCATACAAAAGCTGGAAAATGCGGTTCGTACTGCTTCTCGCTCCTCTTCAACATGTTCATAGTGAAGGGTAGTAGGAATACCTATGGATAGGTACACAACGTGAAATCCAGGTATCTGGAGTTTTGGAATATAAAGCTTTTTTTAAGCTGCGATCCCCTCCCCGCGGTGATGTTAGTGCATGCGGCCCTTAGTCAAAACATGGGGCATTTACAGGGTGCAAAAGATGGCCATATTTTTGATCTGGAAAAAAAATTTCTGCAGGTGGTGTCCTACTGTTGTGATTTGCCCTATCAACAGGCCCGTAGATCTACATATAGCTATCAAATATGAGCTCTCAGCTCGCTTTATGCCTGAGAAAATCATGCACAAACAGGAGGACTTTGTCGCCTTTTTCCCTTCTGCGTGTGCTGATGGTCCAAAATGTAGGCTGAGGATTTTATAAATTACGCATGTCTTACAGACAACATGTTTTTGGCATCAGAAATCGCAGCTCTCAAAAAGGACACTCTACATGAAGTTACAGCCGTTTGAACTGAAATTTCGCAAATGGCCGGGAACTTCCTTTACAACCTAATGAAGACTCATCAACCTGATTATCAATCTGTTCTACCTTGAAAGACATACTTACATCAACGAAATCGATGCGAAGCTTTTCCTCAGACATCGCAAATATGAACAGCATGTTGCCGAAAAATCCATCGGTGAATAATGGACAAAAAACAGGAATTTTATTTTGAGCCGCCCAGTACAAGATTGAAGTTTCGTCGTTGATCTTTTGACCCAGCCTAAAATTCAAAATTACTCGAAAATCAAGTGTTTTCTGAATTTGTAAGTGTAGAAGTTCCAGAACTTTTGGCACAATTTCGAAGGAGTCCAGTTAAAGCCACTATCCTGCTTCTTTACGCATTCCTCTATTATCGGCTGCATAACACCACCGCAAAAGGCATAATAGTTCTGATGAGGAGTCAAAATGTTGCCATCTCGCTTGAAACCTTTAGACCTGAAAAACGTATGGCTCTAACACTAACCACGTCAGGTCAGCATAAGCCGTTGCAATGACTTACAGCAATTCTTTCTCATCCATGTGAAAATCATCGCAGTATGAGGGTTTCAAACACTTTATCAGATCTTCCACTACTCCACCAGCGGTAGTTACAAGACAGTCGACAAGTTTATGTTGTACAAGAAAACGTATCACCTATAATCAATTTCGGGTATGGTGCAGAAGGCGACAATCCCCAAATCTTGTGCCTTGAAAAACTCTTCCGTGCTAAAGTGACACGGCGCCAGGTGGGCGAGGGGGGAGGGGGGGGGGGAGGAGGGGGGGGGGGGAAGGAGGGGGGAGGAAGGAGGCAGATGAAGGAGGCAGATACACGGCTCGATGCCATAAGTATAACTTTGTAAAAATTAGCAAGAGCGCTTTTACACTGCTTGCGTTTTGCGCGCGTTGTCGCCTTCCGCGTGCCCCCATCATTTTCCGCAAATTTGCATGTGGGTCGCGCCATTTTATTAGGTTGATGCATAATTCCTGCACCAAAATAACAGAACGCAATAATCTATATATATATATATAAAACTCAATGTCTGTAGGATGTTCGTTTAGTTGTTCGTTCGTTATAGAAACGCGCGCCACTGAACCGATCCGGCTGAAACTTCGCACACGTATGTTTTCGACCCCCGCGGTGGTTTAGAGCTACTTTTCGCGGCGATTCGCTGAGCCATTCTATCGATTTATTGATTTGTTTACTCAAACCTAAGAAAATGAAGGGCCATCATGACAATCGATCATTTTTACATATAAGCATGTATGCAGGGGCGGTAAAGTTCATTCTAATCTCAAGGCTGACAGGATGCAGCGGGTTCGTCTCAAAGCGCTTTTCGCGCAATGTAGAAATTAGAAAGTGTAAGTATGTTGGCTTCCAGATTCGTGTGGAGGCGGGCTGCGGACGTCAGTGACTTCAAGGATAAGCTCGACGAGAAATTACGAAATTTAATGCTTTAACGTAGAGGTTTAACAAGTTTATCCTAAAGATCAGGGAAGTTTGCAACCCGCCTCTATACGAATGGGAGCCGATGACATATTGGTTAAACTAAGAGTCCCGGGTGAGACCGGGACTATCAGCTAGTCCGGAATAATCCTATACCCCAAATAGGATTTGATATATCATTATATAGAGCAAATCTAGCTCTTCAAGATAGTGTTGAAGTTTTGCAGCAGTTTTGATTGAACCGAAAAATGAAACCAAAAACCAAAAACATCCGAGCTCCCAAAAAAACAACAAAAAATTAGAAGTGCGTTCAGAAAAATCCTTCAAAATTCTAATTTGCTCATGCATTGTCATTTCGTGTAAGGCATCTCTTATGCAGTTGCTGTATTTCTCTCAGCTAGAAATTGAGAAAACAAAGTTTTTCATGTTTTCTCCAAAACAATGCTGAGATGTTGCACTGACAGTTGTATACTGTAGAACCTTAGAAGCGTGAGTGTGAATTTTTAGCTCTTTAAACAGCTGGTTTGCAAGAAATATCGAATTTTTAGCAACTAACAAGGGAACCGTGTCGAGTCGAAGTGGCCTTTCCAGATGAGACCCATACTGCTTTGAGGAGCATTGATCGGTGATTCCAAATCTGCTTTCCAAATCTGCCAAGCGCCTCTGGACGCCGAGTTATGCTCGTTTTTCAGATCAAAAAATTGAACAGAAAACTGAAGCAAAATCGCCCAAATTTGCTCAAATGGTCCAATGTCAAGTATCAGAGCTGTTTATGCAACCGATACATTTTATTTAATATGCTAATATTTAACATTGCTTTATCTGAGCGCTGGAAAGATAGTAACTATCAATTTTACCTAAATTCTGCATTCATTTTTCGTTCCGAAGGACGGTCATAACTCGGCGTCCAGAGGCGCTTGGCAGATTTGGAAGGCAGATTTGGAATCATCGATTAATGCTCTTTAAAGCAGTATGGGTCTCATCTGGAAAGGCCACTTCGACTCGACACGGTTCCCTTGTAAGCAAGAAAAATTCGGATAAGGAGAGCTAGATTCGTCATTTCTCGTGAACTAGCAATTCTAGAAGGCTGAAAATGTAAAGTTTCACTGCTAAAGGCAGGTACTATACAACTCTTAGTGTTAGAACATCTCACAAGGAAAGAATACTCGGTCATCGTGGCCATTTGGAATGCATGCATATATATATACCGTAAGATGCACCTCGAAATGCTGATTCCAAATATGTGCTCGTTATCTGCGAAACGATCTTCTGAAGGAAGTTATGAACTTTTTTCTTAGAAAATTTGCGTACTTTTGTGTAGTCAAAATTACCAAATTTGTTCTAAGTTACTATTTGAAGCTATTGAAGAGAAATTTAAAAGGATTACTGTTGCATTATACCTATCTAAGCCATATTCAGCATTTGAAAAGGAAAGAAAATTTTTACTGATGATTTTGACCCTCCGCAGTAACGCAGTTTATTTATGGAAAAAAATCATAACTCCATCTAGATTATTGTTTCGCAGATATGGAAGACAGTATTCGAACCAGCATTAAAAGGTGCATTTTGATTTACAAATCATTATGAATGGCCGCGGTGACCACGTATCCTTCCTTGTCAGCTCTAATTTGGCAAAAACATGAAAAACTTCGTTTTCCCAATTTTTAGCTAAGAGAAAAATACAGCAACTGCATAGAGAAATGTCTTATACGAAATGACAATTTATGAGCAAGTTGAAAATTTTGAAGGATTTTTCTGAACGGACTTCCAATTTTTTCTTAGTTTTGTGGGGCGCTTGGATCTTTTTGGTTTTTGGCTTCAATCTTCGTTTGGAACAAAGCTGCTGCAAAACTTCAAGCACTGTCTTGCAGAGCTAAAGGATATTCGTCGACGACTGCCCCAACTAGTGCAATTACACCACTGTGGGCGTGCTCTTTTAGAGCCTTTCCAGCCTGACAGTAGGACAAGACAGGACAGGGAAAGGACGGGAATGCTGCGAGCTACAATCCCCGCGCGCTGCAGCGTACTGTCAAGCTGGAAAGGCCCCAATAAGGCATGCCCAAGTGGTGTAATTGCACGAGTTGAGGCAGTCGTCGATATCCTTTAGATTTGCTCTATCTAATGATATATCGAATCCTGTTTGGGATATAGGATTATTCCGGATTATTGCGGTCTGTACCTGTTTTGGTGCAGAATTATGCATCAACCTAATACATGAGTGCTTGCAGTTATCCACCTCAAACCCCTTTCCTAGATAATCGACGGGGGCAGGCGGCCATGCGAATTACGGGCAGGCGGTACCAGAAAAATAGTTCGCTTGATTTATTGCGGTCCGCTTCCAGATGCTTGGAAGAATGTCGGCCGAATTTTGTACGAATGCTCGGAACACTTGCTGCTTTCCCATAGATCAGTTGCGGCGCAGTGGCCGCATTGTCGCGCACTTTCGGCGAGAATATGCAAAATTATTGAGGGCCGCACTTTTCTTTGTAAAGGACCCACAACCCAAAAGTTACCTTCCGCTAAGAGAAAGTACTCTAAACTGGGGTAATTACTGGGTTATCAAACCATCGGTGACATCTCTGCCATGTAGAGTCATACCTTTGCTCGGCATGAGCCCGAAACTGCATCAAAAGAATCCGACCATTTGCTGAAAGTTTGGCCAACGCTCGCTGAAAGAAATATCTTGACGAGCGCTCGCAGAGAATACTGTATTGCTGCCCGCTGGCAGAACATGCGACAGTAAAAGAAGTACCGCTCGCTGAAGGTTCTTCCTTTCCCTTACTTTCTTTACTGTTTATTTTGGCCACGCCCCAAAATTCTGCTGAAAGCTTGCAAGGAAGCGCGACTTGCGGACCGCCTGCCCCGGCGATTATCTGAGTTGCTGATCCTCCCGTGGATGAGTGGGGGGGGGGGGAGGATGGCTGTGAGGGAATGCCTTGGAGGGGTGCCTCGACAAATCCCCAAAGCATTTATATCTCGCTTACCTGGGGTAATTCTCTGCGCTGATTTCGACCCACCTTGATAGGCCCGAAAATGGCTAGAACGAGCATTTTGCAAAACCATCAGTTACAAACGTGGGCGCTGGACACGGAGCCCGTGATGGCGAAGACGCAGAGTTATTGCGGGGCCCTTTTGCACATCAGTGACGAGCGCGTCTAATGGTGGTAACAAAATCGCAAGGCGGGCGGGGAGAGCTGGGAGCTGCCTAAATTTTCGGGGGTCAGAAGTGGCAGTGAGAGATCGATTTTGGCCTAAATGTTCCATTACGAGAACTTTACTCTGTGACGCTGCTATACTACGTCTCATTGCCGAGCCAAGAATGATCTGATATCTTCCTGCCCACCTGGGGTAATCCGACGCGCTGACTCCGAAAATCCAGCACAAAGAGGGCGATGGCTGAGACCAGCAGCAATCCAAGGCCCTTCATTTTTGAAATTGGACGAGTAGAGCAGCTCCGGAAACACAGGGTCCTTACGGAACCCTGATGCATAGGAGGGAAATCGCTAGCTCATCCAAGCGCTTGTGAGAATAGCTTGCGGGCACGGGTTGGAGTAGTTTTCTTAGCGCGGGCACATGCTGTGTGGTCGGTGCTCTATTCATTCTGGGGTGAAAGCAATCTACAATATTACTTTCCAGTATGTTCACTGCCGAACCAGTACCTTTGAAGGCAGCATCTAAGCAAATTTGGACACATAGCATCGCGCACATGGATTGATTTTGGGGATCTAACTAACCATTAGACGAACGTACGTTTTTACCCATGTTGCGAAAAAAGCAACTATCTTACGTCTCTGTTACCGCTTGTGACTAGATTTGATGTGTATCCAAGAAATATCGTGCATGGACGGATTTTCTTCAACACAGATTGGCTATCTTCTTCATCTGAGTCGAAGCCCTCTCTCGCATTCAACATGTTGTTGACTTCCTAGATGATAGCATTACATTTTCTCAAATCTCAGCGCTCTTTTTCGTGTACCTGCATTGCCTTTCCTAGATTAGATGCTTGAAACCCGGTTGACAAATATGATTTCATCAATTTTGAGTAATTGAGTCCATCATCAAAGTTGTAGCCATGAATCCGTTTAGCACCCTTTGGAACCTGAAAATTCCCAAGAAATTAGATATAAAGTGCTGGCCAAAACTATAATTCCACCCTAGAAACTGCCGTAACTCATCTGCTTCTCAACAAATTGATCTGAAATTTGGTACAGTTGTGTGTTTAACAGGCTACCATCAGTACTTAAAATGGATCCCGTTTTTGTTTGATTATTCAAGAAAAAATCAAAAATTTCGAAAAAAGCAGGCTTGAAGGTTGGCCAAAACTATAATTCCACCTGCAAGGTTTCTGTCCACTAAAGTAATTCTCAGCTTCCAAATTATTTTGTGCATATGCATAAGCAAAAGTCAAAACAGTCGCTTCAGTCCAGCTGTGTCATACTTTTATAAGAAACGCTATTCTGCTTTTTTTCGCTTAAAAATACTTTCACCCGTATTTTGTTCTCGAGAATGTGTTTTTATGGGCAATTTCGTTTCTTGACTGGCTTGGAAGCGATAGGGCTCCATCTATCTTATAGATGCTTAGCGAAGTGAGAACTAGAAAAAAAATCGAGTTTTCGTATTTAAAGGGCACCCAACATAGACCTAAGCGCAGGCCTGCGCTCAAATTTTTGCCTTCAAACTTCTTCTGCAATGTCCTCATGAGCGTGAAGCAGGGTAATAACATTGTTGTACCTTTGAGAGTGCGGATTCAGTGGTTGCAGATTTCCGCAGGTCCTAGCATGCAGGCTGATTAAGGAAATCAACCTGCAAAAACTGATTTGCAAAAAGCCTTGAACTTATTTTTGGTTCTGACCGTAATGCTCACGTGAGTCAAAAGGTAACATACAATACAGAGTGTTTTCTCTATCTAGCAACTAAATAGTGGCGAAAATAGGGAAAGGTACCATTTGATAAGTACTTTGGGATTGCCTAATTATTATCATTGAACCGCAAAGAATTATGCTACGAAAACGAAGCAAAATGCGACTTGGCGAACAGTCGTGAGTACAGTGTACAAACTTCCTTTTATGTAAAAAATCCTTCTACATCATGTAGAGCTTACAAAAATAACATAAGCCAACTTTGAAGGCAAAAATCTGAGTCGGGCTTGCTGTTAGGTCTATGTCGGGTGCACTTTAAATATGAAAACTCAAATTTTTTTCTAGTCCTCACTTGCTAAGCATCTATAAAATAGATGGAGCCCTATCGCTTCCAATCCAGTCACGAAACTGCGAAATTACCCATAAAAACACATTCTCGGGAACAAAATACGGGTGAAAGTATTTTTAAGCGAAAAAAGCAGAATAGCGTTTCTTATTAAGGTATGACACAGCTGAACTAAAGCGACTGTTTTGACTTTTGCTTATGTATATGCACAAAATACTTTGGATGCCGAGAATTACTTTAGTGGACAGAAACCTAGGTGGAATTATAGTTTTGGCCAACCTTCAAGCCTGCTTTTTTCGAAATTTTTGAATTTTTCCTGAATAATCAAACGAAAACGGAATCCATTCTAGTTACTGATGGTAGCCTGTTAAACACACAACTGTACCAAATTTCAGATCAATTCGTTGAAAAGCAGATGAGTTACGGCAGTTTTCAGGGTGGAATTATAGTTTTGGCCAGCACTGTATTAGGTTGATTCATAATAGTGCACCTTATCTATACTTCTTTCAACCAAGATAATTATTTCTTGCAAAGACATCTTTGGGCGCAATGAAAATTACTGTGTCCATCAAATCAGTGGCTATAAAACAGATACTTTTGCTTGACTGTATCTCTCAAAAGAAAAGTTTTTTGACCTGAAGATTGCCAACATCTTTTTTCAGAAGCCTCTACTTTGATAGAGCATAACTCATGTTGAGATGAAGTGGGAAAAGCAGACTTTGCTCATCTGATAGCCAAGGGTCTCCTGAGCAGTAATGCCATGCTTGGATTTTACGGAAAATTTTTGAAAGAAAATATCGCGAAAAAGTCGAAAGTACTCACTTTTTTCTAGCATCTCGGCGGGCTCAATAATCGATCATTTTCAAAATTATTTCATTTATCTCCGCTGAAAAGTGAGAAAATCCTAGCGCTTTTTTACCATCAAATGAACTAGGTCCATCCCTGCTATATAGTGCAAAAGTTCTGCACTTGCCTTTTGCCTAAGAGTTTTATACAGCACGGGATGGCAGCGACGGTCATTCAAGTTCGCGATCGAGTTCCTCGGCACAGAACTCTTGGAAAATTTTGTTCAAATATCATTTTGTAGCACAAAGTGCCCTAATTCTTATGCATATTTTTTAAAATTAATCCGGCTATTCCTCATGAATTTAGGGCAAAAAGAGTGAAAAGCAAAAATTTTGGGATTTAGTCCCTTTTATGTGAAGGCTCACAACTTTAGAATCAACGGAGATATACGAAAGCGAAGGCCCGCTTGAGAAACTAGGTAAAATGCTCTTTCAAATAGTGCAAAAAGTTTTTGAGGAAATACACCTCAAATACCAGCTCTTGGAAGAAGAGGTGAGAAAAACGTGCATTAATCATGAATCAACCTAAAGGTTGTGTAACAAGTTGTTCGCGTTCATCAGTCATTGTTTCAACTTTTTTCAATATTTTACCAAATATCTGGCATAAAATTTGTATGCATTCAAAACCTCTAAGTTTGCTCTACCAAATGCTACCATTATTTCCTCAATTCTTGAGAAGCTGAATCAATAAATCGACTACACCGGAAAATCTGAGAAAGCGAAAATTCCATTTTGACAACTGTATTGTACAACAACTGTATGCTGCCTTCTAAATGTGTTTGCACTTGAAAAACAGCTCGAAAAATTTGCGACGTGTATGGATAGAATGCTGTACATCCCGCAAACTACTCATAAGTGCTAAAATTGCTCGAAAATTCATTTCAAAGCTTAGAGATAATTTTGTTTTTTGACTTGTCTTCGGCGTTAACGTAGGCATCTGAAGGCATCGTGTGAAAGGATGATTGCCAAACAATACAGAGTTGCGAGACAAGGGAGTCTCTGATTATAAAATTATCGATTATATGGATTACTTACTTCGAAATTCGAATTTTGGGGAACATACAACTCAAGTACGCAAAACCGCGAATGCCTTCGCGACATAGTCTTGCTCGCCCACTGTTGCAAAAATGGCATTAAACGGTTGGTCAAAGGAAGGACGTGAATATAAACACTGACACTAAGTGGATTAGTGATTAGCTTGTTATTTTCAATTGTACTCAGGCTTTTTGAGCAAATTTTATTAATGATTAACGGAAAAAATCAGGAGAGAAAAGATGTCAAAAATGGAACTTTTGCTTTCTCGGATTTTTCACTTTCCAATCGAACTATCAAGTAACTTCTTGAGAAATAGGAAAATATTGATAGTTACTTTATATAGCAGACTTGGAGCTTTGAACGCATATAAACATCTCGCAAAACGCTTTGCAAAATACTTACAAGGGAAGGACCCTCGGTCGATGTGGGGTTCCCACACGTGATGCTTATCATTGTGCTGGTCTTGGGGCACTAATAAAAAATCCGTGTTCCTTAGCTGCTCAATGATCTTCTGGGAAAAGTTATGAGCGATGGTTTTCCCCGGATGACCACGGGTCGCTTAAGTTAGCAGCGTCGAGAAATGTCAGTTGTGGAGGGGTGGCCGAGTGAAAACTGTGGAGACTATGGAGGAAGTGGTAAAAAGTTTGGAATACTTATGTTCCAAGTTCTTCCATTTTGTAGATTGTATTGTTTGATATGTATCCTTAGAAGGCCCAGGGCAGAGAAACACCCGGCTCCCGTTGAATAATTCGCAAAAATGCAAGAATTTTTGGAACAGAAGTATTCCGACCGTTTCACCACTTCCTCTATAGTATCCGCAGCTATCCACTCGGCCATCCCTCCACAAATGAAATTTCTCTGCGCCGCTAACTCAAGCGATCCGTGGTCATCCTAGGGAAACATCACTCGTAACTTTTCCCAGAAGATCACTGAGCAGCTAAGGAACATGGGTTGTTATTAGTGCCCCAAATCCAGCACAACGATATGCATCACGTGTGGGAACCTCACTTCGACCGAGGGTCCTTCCCTTGTAAATCTAAAACTAAAAATGCGAAGAACTTGTTACACAACCTAATATATGGAACAGCTGAGATATCGGCTTCGCTCGGTCCCTGTCAATGCACTGCGATAAAAATACATTTTCTGAGCTATGCAACATTCACTGTCTAACCCAACATTCAAGTCGTACTTCCCTCTATTCATTATGTTTTCTTGGTCAGCATGTTCATTTATCCCTTGCAGCAACCCCACTACTCAAAGTTCGTAAAAGATCGATGAAATCAATAAATGCAGAGGATATCTTTCTGATCAACTGCATTCGTGATCAGCATGCTCCCATATGTCAATGCCCAAAACCTCAGCCCAAAATTTTTTGAAAAATCGATACATCGACTTGGATCGATGACGAGAACTAGCCCATATTCCTGCATCGCCCCGAAGTGTATGCAGAGTTTGATTCGGGATTGATTAAGCGCTCCTTTTATTAGCTCCGTTAGACACAATGACCACAAGGCGCTCATTTGAGAAAGTGCGCGCTCTACTGCTGTTTTACCCGCACAAATTACCGAAAAAGACGTGACAATTCGTTCACGCAAAAGTATTGTCGGCGGATCACTGACGAACAATCTTACAGTCCGTGTCAACCCTGTGCTCCCTTTTCCACTAGCCAAACAGCGAACCTACAGAGCTTCGCGCGTATAGCTTGTATATTGAAAATGCCTCATCGGTCGGTTCCCGCGCTAGGCCCTTGCGGTGAGCACGCATGGCTGCTACGGAAAAGGGAGCATTTAGTTGACATCGATTGTGTTTGCCTGCGCATATTCCAGCCTTTTACCCCATCTTCACCCGCGACGCGGCCGATTACCTATTTTGACGCGTTGAAACGAAATGCCAAGATTTTGAATCCCTCGAAAAAACGCGCTGAAGGCGACGGAATAGCGCGCATTATTAACTTGTAGAATTGGCTACTGTGCATCGGTGCTTCTGTTCTTGCAGAAATTTCGTTCTACAATTTGTCACCTATGGTCAACTAGCTTGCTTACCCGGCTCCGCTCGACCCCGTCAAATCACTGTAATAAAGGTCCCATCCCTATCCCTGTACAACCTTTCCCTGTGCCCACTTCTACACTTCATTTCCCGTTCCCTGTGTTGTTTTCGAAATCAGCATGCCCGCTTACCCCCCCCCCCGTGCAACTCCCAGCCCTTCAGCTCAATTGTTTTGAAAAAAATCGGTAAAATCGATAAAAGTAATAGGTGATATCAAAAACTAATATTGTATTCATAATCAGCATGCTCGATTACCCCCTGTGCCAAGTCCCAGGCCCGTAGGTGAATGCAAAAAATCGACAAAAGTTATCGATATAAACTAATATTGTATTCAGAATCGCCATGCCCACTTACCCCCTGCCAACTCCCAGCCCCGTAGGCGAACTCTGCGAAACAATAGATAAAAATCGATAAAATCGATATCGATCGATGACGAAAGGTAGCCTGTGACACGCTCCCTGCTCCGAAGTATAGGTATGCCAAGTTTGGTTCAAATCGGTTCAGAAAAGTTTCTATTCCGCACATACAGTGACCGCCAAAAAGTTGCGGACAAGTTGCCCTCCTTTTCTCAGCGTTCATTTTCGAATAGAAACCCAGGATGAAAAAATGATTGGATTGCAGGCAGAGGTGCGATAGTCGGAGCCGAGCCTCCGCCTACCTTCACTTTTGAGCTGGTACGGGGTGACGACCTTCACTTTTGGGTTTGAAAAAAGTTTTTTGCTGAAGCTCAAAAGAAGGAAAGTAAGCAAAAGGAACGCAAAAGAAAGTCTTGAGAGCGTATAGCTATGTAGTAGGCCGATCTAGGCAATAACCGCCGAGAACCAGAATTTCGAATGGTAAAATAGCGAAAAAATCACGCGAAATTTCCACTGTTATAAATCTGGTGATTGAAGATGTCAGCAAATGCGACTTTACAAGTTTTGAAGGGCAAGTACTGTTCTACTAGATAGTGAAAGAACTAGGTCGATTTGAGCAGTGGCTGCCGAGAACGAGAATTTCAAATAATTAAGCGATTTTAGGTTACTTAATGACAGTTGACGTTTAGACTCCCATAAATCTGGAATGTGAAGGTATGCAATGTTGCGACTTCATAGGTTTTGCAGAGTAAGAATTGCTATATCGGATTATGTTTTAGCCTTACCGATCCATCAAGATACCGCCAAGATTAAGGCTCTTAAAAATAGGTAAAAAAGCGCTTTTAGAACTTCAACAGCTCATAACTTTCTTCAGAATTGCATGAGTATGTTGCGACTTCATAGGTCGGATTCTCCTCTTCAAGAGCTTTCAGATGATATATAATATGTGGAGGTTTCACGCCTTCCACGGCATATGCCCGGGGGTGGAGGCTTTTCACTCCAAAGTCTCCACTAGCGGTCTCTGGCCAATACATTAACATGGGCGAGGCGGAGGCTTTGGGGTAAAAAGTCTCCACCCTGGGTTAGAGCCGCAAAAATCATTGAACCCCCCACATATTATAGATCGTCTGAAAGCTCTTGAAGAGGAGAATGAAGAAGGAGAAGTTACGAGCTTGAAGTTCTAAAAGCGCTTTCTTACCTGTTTTTTAAGAGCCGTAATCTTGGCGGTATCTTGATGGATCGGTAAGGCTAAAACATAATCCGATATAGCAATTCTTACTCTGCAAAACCTATGAAGTCGCAACATTGCATACCTTCACATTCCAGATTTATAGGTGTCTAAACGTCAACTGTCATTAAGTAACCTAAAATCGCTTAATTATTTAAAATTCTCGTTCTCGGCAGCCACTGCTCAAATCGACCTAGTTCTTTCACTTTCTAGTAGAACAATACTTGCCCTTCAAAACTTGTAAAGTCGCATTTGCTGACATCCTCAACCACCAGATTTATAATAGTGGAAATTTCGCATGATTTTACGTTAATTTATTGTTCGAAATTCTGGTTCTCGGTGGTTACTGCCTGGATCAACCTACTTTTCCCGCTGTACGTTATAACAAAATTTACTTAATAAAATTCTTACAGTTCCGCTGAGTTTTACTCCTAAATACACCGTTTGATAAGCACTTTATTTTTAGATATTTATGCCGCTTTGTACATGAAAAATATACTTTCAATAATCTCTTTTGCATTTGTTTTGCTTATTTTCCTCGCACTGGCGGTAACGACTTGGAGGACAGGCTCAGTCGACGTTACCACCTTCACTTTTGGAGGGCCCGGCTCCACCTATCGCACCTCTGATTGCAGGAGGTGATAGAGCTCTTTAAGAGCTACAACCCACACATTGCATTTTCAGGAAAACATGTATTTTAGTAATTTCAAATTTTTTTCTAGAAAAAGTCCGAAAATGGCCGCGTCACAATGTCGCGGCCAATGGTTCTTTGAACGCGAAAATTTTGTTTAGGTCTTTTTTGGAGCAAAAACAAAACTTTTCCGGACAGGTAAGCATACTATATCTTAGAGCTCATCGAGGACAACAATCATGTAATGGTTACTTCCAAAAAAAGCAAGCTTGAATTTTGTTTTGCTTTTTAAAAAAATAATTTCTATTTTCCTCTTTCCAAGCAAATTCCTTTACATGGAAACCTACTCAAGGCATCTCATCAAAGCTGTTTAGATGAAGTAGATGCTCTGTACCATTCTCCCTGCATCGGACGTGTGCTGGTGAGTTTTTTGGCTGAAAATGACTCCTGACAATGAGTGCACATGACCCTGCCTGCGCCTCACCACTGACTTATACCGCTTTGCAGGCTTGATGCTCAGCCGTCGGGCAATCTATGAGCCTGTATTTAGGCTTATTCGAAAGGGCGTGATTTCCTCGTAACCATGGTATGCAAACAAGTTCAGTTTGAGCAATCTCAGAGATTTGACGGATGGATGTGAAAGTGCAGCCTTAAAGGTGATTGGAGTGAAGGCTCTTATGAACACCAGAACAGTCTTAGAGCTTCGAAATGGATTTATCACACGAAAATTGACAGTTTTGAACTTCCAGGATGAAGTTGTTAGCGAGAGGAGCTCTCCTCAACTTTAGCTGAAAAAAGCTTAGCCCACAACTGAAACTGCCCTCTTCGACCCCATCCGTCAAATTTCTGGGATTGCACAAACTGAACTTATTTGCATACTATGGTTTCGAGAAGGTCACGCTCTTTCGAATAAGCCTAAGTACAGGCTCGTAAATCGCCTGACGGCTAAGCTACAAGCCTGCAAAGCGGTGCAAGTCAGTGGTGAGGCGCAGGTAAGGTCATGTGCACGTATTGTCAGAAGTCATTTCCGGCCAAGAAACTCACCAGCACACGTCCGATGCATGGAGAATGGTGGAGAGCATCTACTTTATCTGAACAGCTTTGATGTGATGACTTGAGTAGGTTTCCATGTGAAAAAATTTGCTTTGAAAGAGAAAAATAGAAGTTATTTTTTTGAAAGCAAAACAAAATTCAAGCTTGCTTTTTTTTGGAAGTAACCACTACCTGATTGTTGTCCTCTATGAGCTCTAAAATATAGTATGCTTACCTGTGCGAAAAACTTCTGTTATGCTCCAGAAGAAGACCTAAAAGAAAATTTTCGCGTTCGAAGAATTATTGTCCGCGACATTGTGACGCGGCCATTTTCAGACTTTTTCTAGAAAAACATTTCTATAATTTTCAGAATACATGTTTTCCAGAAAGTGCAATGTGTGAGTTGTAGCTCTTAAAGAGCTCTATCACCTCATGTAATCCAATCATTTTTTCATCCTGGGTTTCTATCCGAAAATGAACGCTGAGAAAGGGAGGGCAGCTTGTCCAAAACTTTTTTGACAAAGCAGTGGTATCAACGCAGAGTACTCGACAGACAGACAGACTTTCAGCTTTCTATATAAGATGAAAGCCTTTGCCTTGCTTTGCGACAGCATGAATCCATCTTAAAAATTATGAAAGTCTGTATGAATCGAAACTTACCTTGGGTGATGTGTCCATTTGAGATAACATTTTCTCGACCATTTTCTCGCTTCTTTCCGAGGTCTCAGCATTAAACTTCCTTACGACATCCTCTATTTTTTTCTTATCAATTTTTTTACTGGGGAACTTGCTCTTCATCCGGTCAATGATTTCCTCAACGCGATCTGCATCATCATCATCTAATCTGTCATCCATCTTCTATTATTTGGTGTCGAGAAGTTGATTGGAGAACTGAAAGAAATACCCAATTTTCTCCAATGAATCAATTTGATTCAGTTCTACCACAGTGCTCAAGTAATCAAGCAAATTTACTGTCTGTGTCGACGACGTGCTTCTTTCCGATCAGCTCAAGCGCAATGTAGAGCCCCGTGCAGCGTTCGCATGCGCGTATGCAACGCGTATGCGTAATTGCTAGGTAGAAGCGAGCTCGCAGTTGACACAGTTTGTACGTAATTGACGTAAAACTCTGGAGTCGTGGTGCAACTGCACATCTCTCCAAAGTGCATCGTGCGATTTGCATTCTTTCAAATAATAGCGCTATGGGAAAGAGAATGACATTCTTTCAAAACAAACGGGATTTTCGGAAAGTTGTGCATTTACACCAGATGGCTCGTGAAATTGACCACGACTGTAATAGCGCCATATCAAACCAAATGCATAGTAGCATGATTGTATAGGAGCCTGCAGGATCGCGAGAGTCGTACGTGCGTACGGCCATTGCGCCGCTCACGACAGATGTCATTGAGTCGTGGGCGCTGGCGGCGATCGATATCGTCGTCGGCGCTGGATTTAGGCTAGATATGGTGAGTTGTTTTTGTTTTTCTTTTCATTTCACGCCTTTTTCTCTTTTCATGTGGCGAAAACATGGTTGTACGAAGAGTCTGCGACCAAAGTTGAGGTGAGGCGCAGGATATGCTCAGTGCGGGCTCAATATTGTAGATAATTTCCGCGCCTGCCGACACAACGTGGATTTTCTGTATTGGCAGCCCGGTTACGAATGAACAAGATAAAGTAGAATAGAAGTTAAAAGTAGAAAAAAGTTCCGTAATCGGGCTGCCAATACAGAAAATCCACGTTTTGTCGGCAGGCGCGGAAATTATCTACAATATTGAGCCCGTACTGAGCATATCCTGCGCCTCACCTCAACTTTGGTGGTAGACTCTTCGTACAACCATGTTTTCGCCACCTGAAAAGAGAAAAAGGCGTGAAATGAAAAGAAGAACAAAAACAACTCACCATATCTAGCCTAAATCCAGCGCCGACGACGATATCGATCGCCGACGGCGCCCACGACTCAATGACATCTGTCGTGAGCGGCGCAATGGCCGTACGCACGTACGACTCTCGCGATCCTGCAGGCTCCTATAATTGGAACTGACTTTAGAGTGTTACAATATCTACCGTATCTGTGTTACAACTAAAAGTTGGAAAGAGACATAAGCTTTAGAGATCGACTAATAAAAAGGAAAAATTAGCTTTGGAAGTGTTCTCCTTTTTCGCTGGCCGAACTAGCTTCACTGAACAAGCACAACTTTCTCCTATGTTTTAGAAAATGTATGCCCTAAAAGGAAAAAATATTATATGAAATTGTGCAACCGATCTGTTTTCACTTGCAAGTGATTGAATTGATTCAAATCAAAAAAATTCACAGTATTTGGTCCTTTTTTGGAAAGTGAACTGTAAAAATGCTGGAAGGATTTCAAAGAAATTTCAGAGAGCATAGCTAACCAATCCAGTTCATTCGAAATACTACTGCGTCCATTCGGCTTGAATTAGACTCACGAAGGATTACTGTAGAATTACAGTAAGATTCATTCAGCTTTTTTTTTTAGGATTAGTAGGAGGCTTGTTCCTTCCTACAGTATACTCTAACATTACGAAATTTTTCCAAAAAATCTTTTGTGAATTGAAGTAGGCTATCTCTCTCCTTGCTGAGAAGTTTAGAAAATCTAGATCTCAAAACTCTGTACTAAGAAAGGAATGAAACTAACTAAAACATGTGAAATCACTTTCTATTTGCACTACAAAATTCAATCATCTAGAATCATAGCCACCGATTTCTAGCGTAGACTAAGATTGTTAAGGTAGATGTGACTACTTAATTTGATTAACTTCAGGCTTTTTTTGAATCGTAAAATGTCAAGAAATGCTGGTAGACTTCCTAAGTCCAATTTTTTATGGCACTTTAAAAAAAACGGAGGTCGTGGTGATAACGAGAACAAAGAGAAGAGGCAGCACAGTCATTGAAAGGAGCTTGGAAGACATGCAGAACGTTGTGTAAGAAAACTGCAGCAGAATTACGGTAAACTGTACATGAAGTTCTAGAAGAACTGTCTGCCTAGAAATAAGTTCCGTTGGAGTGAATGATGGGCAGCCCTCGCAGAATTGCGCGGGCACACCTCGTGGTCACTCGAAAATCGAATTTTTTGACCGACAGCAAATATGTACGAAAATTAGCGTGTAAACAGCGGTCTCTACTTTGCAGTAAATTTCTTAATTGTTTCGCATACGAAAAGTTCTGGAGATGTATCTTGAGCTCACTTCGTGCGCCCAGGGTTGAAAGATGAGGCCAGAACTTCATGCATTCCTTCGATCGGGATGTAACGGACAGTTGGAGTGATGATTTTCTTACTTCTTTACTTAAAGGCATAGGAGCTGTATGTATTTTTCACAACAAATTTTCTCCTTTTCCTACGGTTCACTCTTTCTTATGCTCTTTTGGTTTAGAAAGCTTCAAACTGATTATTAGAAGCAGCACTTAGATTGACCACCAGAATACTTCCTTGGCCCGAAGCCAGATTTTCTGTGAAGATAGAAAGGTCTTTTTAAATAAATTCTTTTGCGGAGATTTTATGATTGATTCTCTCAAATTATACTTTTTGTATTCTTAAGTTTATAACGGGGAAGTCACTAGCCAATCCTATACTCACTTATTGTACTAAAAATAAGGAATCATCTGTATATCGGCGCTAATAATACAACATCAACTTATTTTATATCCATCTTCACAAAGACCAAGTGGTAAATTACGCAGAACTCGGAATTCTCAACTAAAAAATACTGCATTTGAACAAAAAGAAAATACATTTATAAATTTTTATTCACCTTTCCTGGTATACAAGTTCAATCCACTTCAAATTTGCGACTGTTCTTGATTGGTTAGTCGATTGATAAAATTCGCCTTAATTTTATATAATTTTTGAGATACTTTTCACAGATTGTATCTTGCTGTCTTTTCCCTGATAAGTCACAATAGTTCTCTCCCATTTCTTCTTGAACAAAATTGTACTGATACGCAGCCCCCAAGGTGACTCCTAAAAGACTCATCTACCAACAAGGAAAAAACACTTGGTGAACATGCCATTTCGTAATGAGACACATTTCACTAAATCCGTCTTGAAAGACTGATTACAAGACTGCTTCCGCTATCTCCTAAGCGATTGTGTGAACTAAGTTATGAGACTTTTTTCTGCATAAGTTATGCACATTGAAGTGAGTCAAAATCATCGATATCTGAGTTTAAGGAAAAGGTTGAACTGAGACAGGTTATTGAAGTTCAAAGTGATTGCACTCTTCTTCAAAGTGAGTTCCTAGCCGAAAAAAAGAAATTTGAGCAATGTTTTCATATTTTTGCTTAACTGTTAAAGTGCAGATTCTTATAGAAAAAAACGTTCATAGCTTATCTCAGACAATCGCTTAGCAGATATTGAAAGCAGATTCGAAATCAGCACTTTAAGACGCATCTACTTTATGTATACAAGTTCATGATACGCAAAGACTGGGCGCCGTTGCGTCCGAAATAGTGCGGATATGGGAGAGACAGCAGACGGTAATAGAGGCGAAAGCGCTTGATCAGAGAGATGCCGATATGTCCGCAGTCTTTGCGTGCTATGAATCGCCTATGTTTCATTAGGAACGGTCACGTTCACCGAGTACCGAGTATTCTTCGCTTGTAAGATAAAGCTGAATATGAACCCACCGTTCTTACAAGGGAAGTGTCAGAACTCGCAGTGGCCTTTTGACATGAAATGGGTATCATCTGAAGCAGCTTAAAATGCTGATTCCAAAACAGCCTTTCTTAGCTGCTAATCTAGGACGAGAGTTATTGAATTTAATTTACGGGAAATTTACAACGCTGAGAATAGCCAAAAATTAAAGCGAACATTTTTTTGGGCTCAAACATAGATGAAACAGTCCCTCAATGTTTAACGTAATTCTATGCCTTCATCAAAGTCATGCTGTGATGCTCAAACAAGCATTTGAAAGGTTTCCGTGATCACAGAGTACTTCAAACAATGTAAAATTTAATGTTTAAAATGCCCATAACTCGCGACCCAGATCAGTTCTGCAGCTAAGAGAGTGGCTTAAGATGGTACCCATCCCATGTCAAAAGGCCACTGCGACTTCTGACACTTCCCTTGTTAGTGTTTTGCATTATAAACGCAGCTCAGTAACCAATCAATCTTATCGTTAGCTGCTTTCTGGAGCAGATTTTGCAAGTAAAAAAAGCGATTTGGAAAAGCTGGTTGTTTGGTTATTTTTTGCTTAATTATTAGGTTGTACCGAAAGTTCTGTCGTTTCATTTTTGAAAATTTGTAACTTTGCGCTGTTTCAATGGATTTGCTTGCCTGTAATTTTATTAGAAAGAGTAAGTCTTTCTGTTTCAAACGCTGTTTTGCGGAGCTTCTGTTTCACATTGGGTGCGGAGATAAAAATGGAAAACTAAGACAATGTAAACTTTGATCATTTTAAGTTAGGTAACCAAAAATCTGAAATGCTGCAGAAAAATCTGAAATCGTAAGTACATATGTTTTTTGACCTACCCTTTGCATCTGTGAAAAAATTGTGCTGTTTGGACGTCTCTGTGAAAAGTTATGAATATCGAGTTTACTATGGAAAAGCCCAAACTTAATTAATTTGTCAATTTTCGGAAAAATCATAACTTCTCACAGTGACGTCCAAACAGCACAATTTTTTCACAGATGCAAAGGGTAGGTCGAAAAACATATGTACTGACGATTTCAGATTTTTCTGCGGCATTCCAAATTTTTGGTGACCTAACTTAAAATGGTCAAACTTTACATGGTCTTAGTTTTCCATTTTTATCTCCGCACTCAATGTGAAACAGAAGCTCCGCAAAACAGCCTTTGAAAGAGAAAGACTTGTTTTTCCTAATAAAATTACAGGCAAGCAAATCCGTTGAAACAGCGCTAAGTTACAAATTAAAAATGAAACGACAGAACTTTCGGTACAACCTAATATTTTGAATAGTCAGAAAAATGTTAAAACTTTCATTATATTCATTAAACTCGCAACAGTGACTGACGCCGACTTTATTCCATTACATTTCATAAATTTTGAGATTTTGACCTTCCTCGAAAA